TGCCCGGCCCTCAGCCTTTATTTTTTTGTAAAAAAAAAAAAAAAAATCAGCAGGAAACAAGGCTGTTAGCTCTGATCCAGATTTTAATGTAGAGGTTCATGGAACTCCAGTAAATACTTTTTATTTACCCATTTATTAGGAAGGATGTTATAAAGGATACAGAAGAACAGCGAGATGAATAGGGCAAGGTGGGGTGGAAGGGTCACTGAGCTTCTGTGCCCACTCTGGGTGTCCCACTGAAGATGACATCTAGATCCTTCCTTAAAAGACAGAATTGATGGAGGGAGTGTCTATATGAAGGAGGGAAAGAAGCTGGAAGAAGCTGAAGGTGTCCCCAGAAATGTCCACTTGACCAGTGTGCCCAGAGTCAGCCTTGCCAGGATTCTGCTTGTGACAGCTCACTTCTTCTTGAATCGCTGTAGAAAGAATGGGAAAGAAAGGGGGGCTGAGAGATGAGAGAATTTTCAAGTCAGGAAAAGTAGACACTGCATTAAAAAAATACCAGTTCCAGTCCTGCCTCGGGTCACACAGCAAATAGGTTGGAAACCCACATAGAACACAGGCATCCATGTCTTCTGTGGCCACTGAACTAAAGATCTGATCCTTCCATATGTTTTTCTAAAGGCCGTAAACTTTTCTTTAGGAGAAAATTCGAGCTATTAGCAGGGCATTCGAGACCTCAATATACATTTCTGATTTCAGGTGACATTCCACAAATGTTTACTCTGTCCTGTCGTCACAAGAGTGCCTACTGAACCTAACACACTGTAGGGAATTCACATCTCTGTGCTCTAGCTCTGTGATATTGTGACTTTAGGTAAATAGGTGGGGGGGGCGGGTGGTTCATTGTTGCTTCCTGGCAGAGTTCCTAAAACCTTTATAGCTGGGGTGCTAGTGTAATCTTTTGCTCTAATATATGGTCTTTGACCCCAGTTTCTGAGAGAGTTCCTAAGTCCCTTAGAATTTCCTGGGTAATCACATTCTTTTTGTTCCAACTTTTGTTGTTGTTGTTATTTTTGTTGTTGTTGTTGTTGTTCTATAAGGTAATTCTTTAGTGGGCTCCAGGATAGCTTCAGGACCCCACCCCTGATATCCAGGGAGCAGAAGAGGGCTGGAGAATTAATTGATCACATTGGCCAATGATTTAACCAATTTGTCTAAATGAAAAAGCCTCCATTAAAATTCCAAAAGGACTAGGTTCAAGTAGTTTCTGGATAGCCAAGAGGGGATGTGGGGGCGGTTCCTGGAGGGTGGTGCACCCAGAGTGGGCATGGAAGCTCTGTGACCCTTCCACCCCACTTTGCCCCATTCATCTGGCTGTTCTTCTGTATCCTTTATAACATCCTTCCTAATAAATGGGTAAATAAAGGGTATTTACTGGAGTTCCATGAACCACTGCATGAACTGAAACCCAGGAGAGGGTCATGGGAACCATGACTCACAGCCAGTCAGTTAGAAGCCCAGGGCACAACCTGTGCTTGTGATTGGCATCCCTGGTGAGGGGCAGGGGGCAGTCTGTGCAACTCAAACCTCAACCCATCTGACACTGTCTCCAGGTATATCTACATGTTGTATCCCCTTCCAATTTTATTTATATTCTTTTTCAATTAATGATATATACTTTTATATATGTGTGTGAGAGAGAGAGAGAGTAGGGAGTACTAAAGATTAAACCCAGGGGCTCTGTACCACTGAGCTATATCTCCAGCCCTTTTTATTTTGAAACAGGGTCTCACTAAGCTGATGAGGTTGGCCTCCAACTCATGATTCTCCTACCTCAGCCATGAGCCTCCGGGCCCAGCTTGTATACACATTCTCAATGATTACATAATCTTTCATCTTATGAATGTACCACAACTTATTTAACCATTCCTAACAGTAGATGTTTAGGATATTTCCAAAAATATACCATAGTAAGAAAAGCTGCAAGGGAACAACTCATCTTAAACACATAGCTTTCTGCATTTCAAATTATTTCCTTAGAATAAATTGTTATAAATGGAACTACTGTATCAAACAGTATGAATATTTTTAAAGATCTTTGTACATTTTTCCAAACCCGTTTTTGGGGAAGTTTTTAACCAAAAGAACCCATAAGTATTTATGAAAACAGCCCAAACACTGGAGTTTCTTTACCAATGACAACACAGAGTATTGTTTCTCATGCATTTTAGAAGTAAAAGAGATTTCTGCTTTTTATCCTCGTCTAGGAGATATCTTTCTGTTGTAAGGAATGTCAGAGGTACTTCTAAAGTTGGCCATCTTAATAGTGACAGTCATTGGCTTCTTATTACTTTTGATCCAACAACAAAGTTCCAGTAGATTCTAGTTAAAAGATAAATGAATCTAGAAAAGTTTATCAATCATGCTTTCTAAGTAATAAAGAGCTTTTAGGTAGCGTGTGTGTGTGTGTGTGTGTGTGTGTGTGTGCGTGCGTGCATGGTGCTCTATAAAGCAGTTTAAAGCGATTTACTATCCTCGTGTTGCTGCTAGAGGCTGGTGGGGCTCAGAGAGATGATTCCCAAGGTCATAAACCGGTGAGTGGCCAAGCCGAGTCAGTAGCCAAGTCTAGCTTTGCATCTTAAGGCTTTGCCTCTGCCTCTCAATTGCCTCTTCTGTCATGCTCTCTTTAATGTGGGATGGAGGCATCATTTTTTGCCATGGATGATCCACATGTCAGCTGAGATCTCCCTTCTTCTCCAGTTCCAGGTGAGATCACTCAACCACTTGTATTAATTTGCTAGGGCTGCCATCACAAAATGTCACAGGCCAGGTGACCCAACCAACAGAAATTTATTTCTTATACTTATGGAGTCTGGATGTCCAAGATCAAGAGGCCAGCAGGGCTGGTTTCTCCTAAGGCTCCTCTCCTTGAAGGCATCCATCTTCTTGCAGGGTGTTTGCACAGTCTCTTTTCTGTGCACACAATCCCTAGTATTTCTTCCTCTTCTTGTAAGGACACCCGTCTTACCAGATTAGGGCTTTATTTAATCTTAATTGCTTCTTTGAAAGCCCGATCTCAAAATGCAGTCACATTCTAAAGAACTGGAGATTAGGACTGTAATTTATGAATTTTGAGGGGATGCTCTTCAGTCCACAATGCACCTCTCTGCTCCTTAATATGAAGGAGGTTCTTGGTGTTGGAGAGCAAGGAGAATCCTTGCCCTTCCATGGCACCAAACTTCTGCCTTCACCAAATTAAATCAGCTATTCGTCTTGCCCCATCCGGTACCTACCATCTCTGTGTTATGTTCTGTTGATCTATAGATGAGAACCAGCTCTTGCGTTGTCCAGGGCGAAATCATTCCCAAGAGTCACTCGGATGTGGGTTAGATGTTACTAAGAAGTCCAAGGAAAAATGGCAATAGTAAAGGAATCTAGATGAGAAATTTCAGGTTGAAATTTGAACAGTCAAATTTCAGGTTGACTGTTCTCAAGAGAACAGTCTTAACCACATGTGACTCCAAGCACCTATTCCCAACCAGTTAGAGCCCCAGGGCCAGGTAAGGTGAGATATTAATAATTTAAATTTTCAATACCAAAATCAACCTCCTGGTGACCACATCCCCATGAGATAGCAAGATGAAAGGAAAGTGAGGAACTGAGAGACAGGTGAGGGGCAAATGAAAGACGAAGCCCAGGGAGAGATACACCCGAGAGTTTATTTGTCAGAGCTGACAAATAAAGGCATGCCTCTTCATAGACAGAGAGAGGCAAAACAGGCTTGGGGTTCAGGGCGTTTGTGGGGCAGGCTCAGGGATTAGAGCTGGGAGGTCCTAATGCAGGCAGTGAAGGGTTAGGTTGGTATTAGGGAGTGGGTGAGCCTTTCTCAGAACCACCCTTGGGTGGGAAAGCCAAATTTTTCTTAAAATGGCAGCTGTCACTTAAGCTGGTTGTCCAGATGCTAAGCAAGGACCTTACACAAGATGCAACCTATTTGAATTGCCCTGATGACCCGCACACCCACATGCACTGTGCAAATGTGCTTCAGTGACCACCCGGTAGTAACAGAGTAACTTCTGGAATTCATGCCTGCTTGCTTTAAAACCACCAACTGCAACCCCATAGGAAGCCTGTTTGGATGAAGCTGTGGACCCAATAAAGGTCCTGGCCCACAGCTCCCTGCTTCTCTCGTTCTCCCTTCCTGCACTCCCTGATCTTCCTGGGTGTGGCCTCCAGGATTCTATGTACCCCCTAGGACCTGAAAGTAATAAAAATCTTTATTTCCAGCTCCTGTTTCTCCTCGTCATTGGCGTGCTCTTAATTTTAAAGATCCTAGCACACAGAGAACGTCGTGAAAATCCCCTGGAAATTTTTCACTGTCTGCTTCATCCCATGTGGTTCCAAGCCTAGTGCAATATCATAAGTTCTTCTCTCCTGCTTAGCCTTCCCTTTTTCCTTCTAGAATCACCCCCTGGGAACCCTGAATTCTTCTCAGTCTGTCAGGTAGTAGAGTTTTTCAGCTTTCCCTGCTCCTCATGACAAGCTCTGCTCCAGACTGCCTTCCAAGAGCCAGACCCCCTGCCTGGAGGGCTCCACAGAACGGATGGCTTTCAATCTCGCCAGCTCCACTTTCCTTAGACTCCGGTTGCAGCTTTAATCGCCTGTGTGTCTTCATTATTCGAGCAAAATCCTAATGATGTTGATATTAGTGAAGATAAATGTTTAACAGCTTGAGACTGAAATGATGAAGTTGCTAAATAAAGAATGAGGTCAGGGTTGCTAAAATGCTTGAGAAGTGTCAGCTGGGATGGGTAAACAGGCGCACTGTCGAAGGGTGGCTTAGGGATGCAAAGCACAAGCATCTGGGAGAGAAAGGAGAAGGAGGTAAGCTACAGTCCTGGGCATGCACTCAGGGACATCAATGCTACAGGTTAGTCCTGAGGTCACCGCTTAGGACTGGGAGAAAAATCTGACCTTGGGAAGAGACACTTGGCCACAGAGTGAGAAACTGACAAAGAAATGGAGTTACCAGGTGGCTGCCACCTCTGAACAGCCACTGAGGCCCAAAGGAAATGAATTTCGACTCCTGGCATTCAGGGACTTGTAAGCAGGAAAATAATAGTAACAAAAAGCAAAGGTTTTAAAAAGGAAGAAGATATATAAGAACCCCGCTGAAACTTGGGCTCCCGCTCTTAGCCTCCGGAATAGCAGCCCACATATGTTAATCAGCCCCAACTGTGTGGAAACTAAACTGGAAACAACCTCAAGATCCTGAAACAAACCAGGCCATCCATACACTGAAATATTTTGCAACAACCAAAGGAACCAACTATTGATATACACAACTTGGATGAACTTCAAAGGCATTATGGTGAATGCAAGAAGCCAATCTCAAAAAAACTGAATGATTCCATTCATTTGATATTCCCAGGAAGACAGAGCTACAGTGACAGCAGATCACTGGTTGCCAGGG